CAACTAGAAAATGAATTGCTATTAACACTAAATTACAAAAAGACTTGCAAAGCAATTATAATTGTTATATTGATTTGTAATCTAAACTAGAGCTACCTTTTAAGTGATGGTGAATATTTGCTGTTGGTAATATTTATATTAATTTGGTTAGCTTTACTAAACTATACCATTTGCTATTCCTTTAAATCACTTTTCCTTTCAACAAACAGGTACATCTTTTGCTAGTAATCATTAATTGTAGCCCCTGTTTTTAAATGATAATAAAAACATATGAGACAAATAAAAAAAATGGGGCTTAGCTAAAATTCCACATCTCCCCTTATTCATAAATTGAGTTTCTTCTAGGAAGAGATCGCTCCCCCCATGGCTGTGGGGAGGGCAAAGCAAGCAGCTGGGTTGTAGGAGTAATAAAGAAGGAGAATCAATAGGCCATGCAATGGAGCCAAGGTGCTGCCATTTATCACACCGCTTCTCTGACTCCAATCATTCATCATGCTCAATGAGGCAGCAAATAGGAAAATGACTATTTGTATCAAACACATCTGCACTCATCCACTGAGGTATTTTATTCCCATTAACTCTGAAAGTAAAATACGCAGAGTTTTCTAGCTCCTTTCAGCTCAGGTTGGCAGAAAGAAATTCATAGTACAGCACCATAAAAGGCTGTCTCACTTTACACACAGTGCAAACATACAAGTTTTTTTTTCATTCTGCATTAGGACTGAATATATATTTTGGCAACAAATGCTCTCAGCATTCACACCATGATAAGACAACTATGGTTATCCAGCAAATACTCATTATTTTACCTCTCAGTGGTTCCTCTCTCTTGTCATAAATTAGCCCTCCTAAGTGGCGCGGAAGCTAATTTCCTTAAGTCTTTTGGAAGATCGGATGCAAATGGGAGGGTTATTATCATTATGGTGTAATATCCCATGAAATGGGAGCATCATTAGAGGGTCCTTTTATGGTCAGCACAAGTTTATTTCCAGCTAGGAAATATGAGGTTGTGGACTTCATCATGACCCAGGAAACTTCTATATAGGCATGCCAAGAAGGGAGGTATAGATAGATGATCCTAGAAATGTCTACTTGGACATCAAATATTTGCATGTCAAGTTTTTACATTTGGCTTAGGTTATACGTAGAACAAAATTGTGATAAGATTTATGTGATTTAGATAAATGGAAGAATAAAAAAATATGTAGGAGAGAATTTGATTTGTTGAACAAAGTCAAAGGTTTTTGAAGGCCAAACTATGTAGACCTGAAAATATTACCAAGTAACAATTTTGTCTCAGTTTTTGAAACTACAGTGTCTGCTGCTAATTTTCTAAACTGGACAACCACAATAATCTGTAGTCCACCCTACTTTAACACGATTGGGATCAATAAGAATAGTGTAGCATCTAGGCCAACCTCCATCATTGCATTGTCATGGTGAAACACTAGAAGGAAAACATTCCTTTTGGTCCACGGAACACAGCCATTTTGTTTCTGATTCAAAATTGCAAGATATAAATAATGAGCAGGAGGAGGGGTGACACACAATTGCCAACTTTGATTTTTCAAATTCTTCTACATATACCTGACTATGACTCTTGGAAATCCCCCACACACACACACTTCACCAAATCAACAAGTTTTTTTCAAACAGATTTATTTTTTTTCTCCACATTTGTTAAGAAAAAAAATCCCTTCTAGGTGGTCTATGTACATTGCAGGAATATTAACAAACTTGGTTGCAGGTTCCTACCTTGTTATTCTGAAGAAGCAGCTGCTTTTCTGTGTCCATGTGCAAAATGAATGTGAATGAGAGTGATTTCTTAGCTTTTAATCAGCTGATGCACCTGCAGAGGTATAATAGGAAATTTGGCATGACGTGATTTCCCTTTGGGAGTATCTCGCCAAAAATGACATTTTTGTTGCAGGCGATGCTCAAAATCTGACTTGCATCTTAGTGCAGATTTTTGGGAAAATCAGTAAGCCTATCACCCAAGCTGGAAATTCCATTTCTGGGGGGGCGATCTGTACATAATTTGTGTACAGAACACTTCCAGGTTGCCATATCACATTGCATTTTACAGAAAACGACAGAGCTATTTTTAATAACATTCAATTACAATATGACTTGTATTGCAAATGTATATGCTATATTATTTTTCTTTTATTTGCTATTTATTTCCCACAAAAGTGGAGTTACCCTTTTAATCTAAAAGTTCTAATGTGAGTAATTGTTTGATCATATGCACATTTGATTCTTAATAATGTAATTTAGTATTTGATGTGAACAAAATTTGTAACACTTATGGCTTCAGATATTCCCCTCCTTAGTATCAGTACCACAACAAAAAAAACATTTGAACCACAAAATATATTCCTCCAGAACATACATGACCTTTCTCTGAGGAAGCATTGTGACTTTTGTGAGGCGGGAAGAAAAAATTTAATTCTGTCATTGTACATTTCAATACTGTATTAGGAAACCAGCTTATTTAATTACCATCTTTGTTTGTCACATATAAAGGCATACGCCACTACTACCTGTCCTGAACATTTTGAAGGGTATACTGGTTTTTTACATATTTTGTTTGTTTATTTTGGTCAATACTAAATAGTTTAATTAGAAAAAATTAACTTGTACTATTTTGCCAAAAGTATTGGGACACCCTCCAAATCATTGGATTCAGGTGTTCCCGGGGCGGACTGACCATTTGGAAACTCGGGCACTGCCCGAGGGCCCGGGGTCAGTAGGGGGCCCCATGAGATGCCCCTGGTACTTTTTTCATAGGCTTTTTTGAGTTTGGGCAAGGACACAGGGGCCCCATGATTCCCTATTGCCAGGGGGCCCCATGAGTTGTCACTCCGCCCTGGGTGTTCCAATTACCTTCATGGCCACGGGTGTATAAAATCAAGCACCTAGCCATGCAGACTGCTTCTACAAACATTTGTGAAAGAATGGGTCGCTCTCTGGAGCTCAGTGAATTCAAACGTGGTACTGTGATAGGTTGCCACCTGTTCAATAAGTCCATCCGCAAAATTTCCTGCTAGTAAATATTCTACGGTCAACTGTTAGTGGTATTATAACAAAGTGGAAGCAACTGGGAACAACAGCAACTCCTCCACAAAGTGGTAGGCCACATAAAATGAAAGAGTGGGGTCAGTGCATGCTGAAGTGCACAGAAGTCGCCAACTGTCTGCAGAGTCAATAGCTAAAGACCTCCAAACTTCATGTAGTCTTCAGATTAGCACAACAACAGTGCGTAGAGAGCTTCATGGAATGGGTTTCCATGGCAAGGCAGCTGCATCCAAGCCTTACATTACCAGGTACAATGCAAAGTATCAGATGCAGTGGTGTAAAGAATGGTCAAAACTTCCCATAGACACACTCCTAAACCTTGTGGACAGCCTTCCCAGAAGAGTTGAAGCTGTTATAGCTGCAAAGGGTGGGCCAACTCAATATTGAACCCTACAGACTAAGACTGGAAGGCCATTAAAGTTCATGTGCGTGTAAAGGTAAGGATGAGTGTAAATAGATGACAAATTCCTTATAAATGATTGTTGTGGGTAGGATTGCCTGGTGGAGTCATAGAGAGATGTCCTACTTTTTTTCTTGCTTGTGCTTTAACCACTTGCCCTCCAGAGGACTTACCCCCCTTCCTGACCAGGCCACTTTTTGCGTTACGGCGCTGCGTTACTTTAACTAATGATTGAGCGGTCATGCAATGCTGCACCCAAATGAAGTTTACGTCCTTTTTTCCCACAAATTTAGTTTTCTTTTGGTGGTATTTGATCACTTGTGCTTTTTTTATTTTTTGCGCTATAAAAAAAAAGACCGACAATATTGAGAACAATATTTTTGACTTTTTGCTATTAAACATGTCCAGTAAAAAGACCAAAAAAATCTAATTTCGTCATAAATTTGTCTTTGCTAAAAAAAATCCCAATACGAGTAAATTTATTAGTTTACGTGAAAGTTATAGCGTTTACAAATGGCGGTATATATACTGGGATTTCTTTTTAATTTTTACTAGTAATGGCGGCGATCAGCGACTTATAGCAGCACTGCAGAACTGCGGTGGACATTCTGACACTGGGGGGAACTGACCTGGTGTCACTGACATCCCCAGTGACACCAATACAGTGATCAGTGCTAAAAAAAGCACTGATGCTGTATTAATGGCACTGGGCAGTAAGGGATTAACATGAAGGGCAATCAAAGGTTAACTGTGTACTGGGAGTGTGTTACTAGGGGGCGGCGTCAGTATGCTTCACTGTACTCACACTGCTTTGGATGGCTGTGCTGTCCACAACCATCCAAAGCAGTGTGCCCGAGCTGACAGGGAGGAGAACTGTTAGTAAATAAAACAGTACTCCTTCCCATAGGAGATCCTTGGAAATCATGGGGCACCGGCGAGTAATCACCGGCCAGGAACCAGAGATTGACAGCCGCACGTGCCCCCTACCCAGAAATGCAAAATTACATATATACATGATTTTGCACACCCATGCCGTCCTGTAGCAATATTTTTGCCTACCGGGCATTTTTACCCCCTTCCTGCCCAGGCCAATTTTCAGCTTTCAGCGCTCTCATACTTTGAATGATAATTGCGCGGTCATACAACACTGCACCCACATAAAAATGTTCACCCCTTTTTTTTTTGCGACAGATGGAGCTTTCTTTTGGTGTTATTTAATCACCACTGGGTTTTGTATTTTTTGCTAAACAAACTAAAAAAGACTGAACATTTTGAAAAAAGTTTTTTCTTAGTTATACAATTTTGTAAATAAGTAATTATTCTCCTTCACTGATGTGTGCTAATGAGGCTGCAGTGATGGGCACTGATAGGCTGCACTGATGGACGCTGATAGGCGGCACTGATGAGGAGGCACTGGTAGGTAGCACTGATGGGCATTGACAGGCATCACTTGTGGGCATTTACAGACATCACTGATGAAAAGCAGCACTCATGTATGGCACTGATAGGTGGCACTGATTGGCACTGATAGGTGGCACTGATAAACAGCACTGATTGGAACTGTTAGGCGCATTGATTGAAACTGTTAGGCGGCACTGATGGGCCCTGATAGGCACCACTGATATGTGGCACTGACTGGCACTGATAGGCGTCACTGACTGGCACTGATAGCACTGAAAGGCGGCTCTGATGGGCACTGATATGTGGCATTGATGTTCACTGATGGGCAATGGTATGTGGGACTACACTAATCATCAGGGCATGGATCATCAGTGCCCTAATGATCAGTGTACATGTCCCCTCTGAGGAATGCCGCTTACCGCCTCTTCTTTCTTCACACGCTGTTTACATGTGATCATCTGTGATTGGACACAGCTGATTACATGACAGAGCCAACGTCATTGGCTCTTTACTGTGATCGGTGATCTACTGTGTCCCAGGGACACAGCGCACCACTGATCACCATGCCGCGCACCCTCGGGGGCGCGCATGAACAGTTAGAGTGGGAGGACGTTATACGATGTCCTACCAGAACGAGAGAACCGCCGCCCATCTGTCATTTCCTTATATGGCGAGTGGGAGGCAGTTAAATATAAATATTGCATATTGATGTTATACAGCTGAAAAAAGTCAGTTGCTTATAGAATTGGAAAAAGGAGCTGGTTTGTTGAAGTAATAAAATAAAGAAAAGTAATAACAGAGCTGCAGACCATGCTTCTCTGTTGCCCTGTCTCTTTAGATAACATATAGTGCTCTGGGAATCCTTTGTCATCTATGTGCTTATTGTAAAACAGAGATTGTATAATCTATTCTATAAACTATACTACCAGACATTTGTGGACACCTAGCCATCACATTTATATAAGCTTGTTTGACATTCCATTCCAAAACCATGAGCAGTAAAATATAGTTGCCTCCCACATAACAGCCTCCACTGTCTTGGGAAGGCTTGACACAAGATAGCAGATGTACTGGTCATGGGTCCACAAACTTTTGTCCATAAAATGAAGATAGTGAGGCTACAACATTGTAAATCATTAATAACATTTTAATCTTTAATATACTGAAAAAAAATAAAAAATAATATGTAAAAAGTGAATTTAAATAAAATAAATGACTTTTTTTGTAAAACACCCCGTGTCTCCCTGTGCTCATGTGCAAAGGCAAACAAGCACGTATGTCCTGCACACACATGCAAATGGTGATTCCACCAAACATGTTAGGTATCACCACAAACATTATTATTATTATACAGGATTTATATAGCACCAACAGTTTGCTCAGAGCTTTACAATATAACGGGAGACAATACAGCAACAATACAGTTCAATACAAGAGGGATAGGAGGGCCTGATCCTGGGAGCTTACAATCTAGAAGACATCAGAGTGAGAGCAATAATTCTAGCACCAGAGCTAACTTACATTTAACTCTAAATTGGTAACCTGTAAAGGCCTTTAAAACGCTGCCTATTGAGATTTTTAGGTACCGTAATTCATGGCCACTTCACAGGTGTGAAAAATGTTATATTTTGACATGTTTGATATCTATTTATTTAACATCATCTTTTATATTTTGCCAAAACACTGGGCATTACAGCATATTGTGTTTGTGTGCACTAAAATGAATTTAAGTTTTTTTTTTTGTGCTGCATTTGATGCAAATGGCTGTGCAAATGTCATGCAAGCCAACATAAAAAATTGCAACAACCACCATTTTATTTTACAGAAAATATATTCTTTCAGAAAATATATAATGTTTGGAGGTTCTAAGTAATACTCTAGCAAAAAATCCTGATTTTAAGGTGTATGTGAAAACTGTCATACTTTTCCTGTATTCGAAGTGATTAGTTAACCAATCAAGTCATTTACATAGAAATATAAATAAAACATATTGATTTTTTTCTTGATTTAAATGGCTAGTTGAAGTAAAAGCAGCTTCACCTTATTCACTAAGCTAAGTGAACATTCTCCTACATAGATCACATTTGTCATTTGTGAATAATGTAACCTTGAATCTCCAGACATGCATACAGATTTTACATTTCATTTCTTATTCTCATAACATAACATCATTAAGGTCCTTTGTTATGCAATAATAACAGTGAAAACTAATGCAGTAGCCTTTTCTGATTTTTCGGACTGAACCTAAACTTGCTCCCATCAAACAATGTCTAGCCGGATATTTCCTGCTCCTAAGCCCTAATTTCCACAACTTTTATGGCATATAGAGTTTTTCTTTACATCCCTCAAGGCTTGGCTGATTTTGGTGCAGTGGACCCAGGTTGTATGTTTATGCTGTTATTGGGCATGTAAACTAAGCAGTTCTGCTAGGTGCTTGGGGTAATGTGTCTGACATTTGTCTCCCTCAGCAATTCATTGACGGTTAAATGTCTCCTTTCATTCAGAGTAAGTGTGAAGGCCTCTGCTGACTGGCGTTCTAACTAGTGGATCAATGCTATAGGAATTCCTGTTTGCTTTACTATAATCTGCACATGTAGGACATATGTGACAATCCCCATTTGTAAAAAAGCATTTAATGCAGTGTCTCAAAACCCAACAAATGTAAAAATGAACTCATGTATCCTAGCATTACATCTTTTGTATATTCTTTATATTATGTATTTCTTCAATCAGCGTGCCTGGGCTATCAAATGAAATACAGTCAATTTGATACGCAGTCGGTATATATTTCTAATGCTGTTGCTGACAGCCTAGGTGTATAAATTGTTAGCTGGGACAGCAAGCAGTGCCCCATAACAAATGTTTGTGTTCCCTAGATTGTTCTAAATTACTTTCAGTTCATAGTGTTTTTAGCTGAATACACAATAGAAATACAAAAGGCAACTTGTTTACCTGCCAAAAGATTTGTAATTCATCTGACAGTCAAGCCAGGTCCATGACCAACACCGCATTAACAGCACAGTTGGATTAAGAACTCTGATAAAAACACACCCTCAGCTTACAAATTGGACAATGAACCTGCAGAAGAACACTGATGAGGTCACCCTTCTGCTCATTCTACTTTCTCCTCTGCCATCCAATATTCAACTGGTTATTGTCACTCAATTCAACCAAAAAATTTTAGGTGCTGTTTAAGTCACCTAATTAAATATTTTATTCCTCAAAAACTCTCAAGACTTGTGTTCCTTCCTGTAATTTATATTTTCACCTTTTCTCGCAAGGATGTCATAAGGTGTCATTGTCAGATCACCCAATTGTTTTTTTTTTGTACATTATGTACAAACCATTGAAGGAAGAATGACAACCTCATGTTGTAATGTCTGGGACAATCGATTGGTGCTGGGAAATATCTCTTAACAAATAAGTCATCCTGGCAGTGCTTATGTAAAATGGAAATGTCTGTTTATCAGGAACTGTTCCTTTAACACCCTGAGGTCATCACAGAGGACAAGGGGGCACTCTCTACGTCTGGAGGAAAAGAAATTTAGGTGTCCATTTATGACACAGAGAATAGCTGCGATTCAGAGGATCGCAACTACTCTCTGTTCATTCACAGTTTATGACACTCAGGAGATCAGCGAGGAGCAGCCCTTCACTGGCGATCTGTGTTCTCCCTCCAGATCCTCCAGCCCAGAGCTAGAGAATCGGAGGAACCGCAAACTAAGCAGCGATAATTTACCTCTGTTTAGTAAACTGATCTCTTACTGTAATCTCATGAGATTATAGTAAAAGCAGCCATTTTCCAGCATTTGTAGATCGTTCTCCCTTTGTTCGGAGAACTGATCTACACCGCTTCATAAAAGGCATTCACAAGAGAACTGTGTTCTCCGAGAATGCCGGAGAACTGAGCAGCGATCATTTACCATTGGTTTATAAACAGACACCTTATTCTCCAAACATGGAAAGGTTTCTTCACAGTGAGAGCTGTGAAAATGTGGAATAGACTCCCTCAAGAGTTGGTTCTGGCCAGCTCAGTGGATTGCTTTAAAAAAGGCCTGGATTCTTTCTTAGATACACAGAATATAACTGGATACTAATATTTATAGGTAAAGTTGATCCAGGGAATATCCGATTGCATCTCGGGGGATCAGGAAGGAACGTTTTTCCCCTGCAGGAGCAAATTGGATCATGCTTTGCTGGGTTTTTTTGCCTTCCTCTGGATCAACTGTGGGTATAGGATTATAACTTTTTTTTTTTTAATGGTTGAACTGGATGGACTTTTGTCTTTTTTCAGCCAGACTAACTATGTAACTATGTAACACCTACATGGCCCAGTTGTCATATTCTGGAACTGTTGAGTTCCCATTGTGGGTATGTGACTTTCAAGTTTTGGGAACAACTTCACATGTATGTGGGAAACAGTCCTGGTTGTTAAATAGATTATGACTCTTAGGGTGGAGTTGGGTGTGCAGTGTTGATTCAGAATATGGGCTCTGGCAGAGACTAACTGGAGGTGTCACGGGACATTCATCCTTAGCAGGATGCTTGTTCCATGTGGGAGTGGAGGCAGCACCTGTAGAAAAATAAATCAAGCTATGAAAACCGAGAAAAAGCAGGAAGGTCCTGACCTTGAAGTTAGGCACTCCAGTGAATGCTAGGCAGGCCTTTATCAGGCATGATATGCATCTAAGGCAGGGGTAGGCAACCTGCTGCTCTCTAGCTGTTGTGGAACTACATTTCCCATGAGGCATTTCAACATTGCAAAACTGATAGTTACAGCTATGACTTGCAGAGGCATGATGGAACTTGTAGTCCTGCAACAGCTGGAGAGCCACAGGTTGCCTACCCCTGCTCTAGGGTCATCTAAAGGTTTTTTGCACTCACCATCATCAGCATTCTATACCCTCCTGCAATGACCAAATCTTGGACAATTCTGACTGGCAAAGCTCCAACACTTTTAAATAGTGTAGGAGCTTGCCACTAAATTCCCACGTTCCTCATTGGCCAGTAGAATGTGCAGGAATTAAGAAGGGGTGGGAAAGTTTCAACACTATCGGGAAGTGTCAGAGTTTTGCTTTTCATAAGGGCTTCACTTCAATTATCCAATCATGCAAAAAAAAACAAATTTATATTCACTTTAAAAACCCAATCATGTGAAGATGCTTTTCACATGACTGGATAACTAAAGTGAGCAATCACAGTTTTTGAGTGAAGAATAACATCTCCTTTAGTAAATCAACATAAATATGTAGCAAATGCAAGCTTGGTAATGTGAATCCAGCAGGTCTGATTTAAGTCACCTCATTCTCTTGTGTAAGTGTATGGAGGACCCTTTTACATGGACTTTCCTATCAGGTCCACCAATCAGTAGACCTAATCGAAAGCTCCATGGAGCTCTATGGCCAGGCAGATGTAAACAAATTTTTGCCTGTTTACAGTCACATACATCTGAAGCCATAAAAAAAAAAGACCTCAACGTGATGGATGAGAGGTAGCCTGATGTGAACGAACGCAAGTGTGTTTACATCTGATTGCTCATAGAGCCATTATGGGTCTGCCACAGTCTGCTGTCAAAATTCGGACCCAAACTAAATGGG